CTGATTTTGGATTCGACATGGTTATCTGCAACTGCAGCCATAACCACCATACCACCTTCAGAATCATCTGAATCTTGGCGTGCAAGATTCGCTCCTTCGTCCTTGCTTGTCAATCCCTTGTCTTTTTTGTACCAACAATTCTTGGCTACGTGACCCCACTTTTCACAATTATAGCATTGCATACCTTTTTTATCTTATTTTACATTTCGATAGTTTCCTCCTCCTTTCCAGGATTTAGAAGCTACATTTTCGACCTGATGTTTGTGAGGTTTCGACCAAGACTTCTTGCCCTGAGTCTTGTCGAACTTTCTTTTGAATTTGTTGGAACCACCATCCTTTTTCCATGACTGAGCTTGCAGAGCCTATATCGATTCTTGCACTCCTTTCTTTCGGAAATCATCATCTCATGCGCTTCTAATGAACCAACCAAATATTCCACTTTAGTGGTTTCAAGATTGTTGGATTCTTGAATAGCTACGATAATGTGATCAAAGTGAGAGGTCAACGTTCTCACTACCTTCTCAACTATCATCTTATCAATTATATTTTCACCATAACCCTTCATGAGATGGACGGTGTTGTACCCCAAAATTTTCCCTCCCATATTTCTCAAAACATTGCAAGGAAAATCTCCAAGTTGCCCAAGGTTGCTGAAGAGTTGGTCAGACAAGCTATCTCCTAAGGCAGTCTACCCCAAATTAGGGTTTTGTGTTGCATCAAGATCCTTGAGTAAAAATGACCTCAAGTGCTCCCCAATGTCCTAATATGTTCTCAAGATCATCCATGTCAAATTTTAAGCCTTGCAGAGGAAGTTTGCTCAGTCAATTGCTCAAAGGTCCAAAAGTCGACTGTGCTAGGGCAAAAGTCAACTGTGACCCAAATACAGTCAAACTTCAAGATTTTCTGTCAAAATTCTCATTTTGAATGATATTTCATCATTTGATCAAGGTTTTATCATGATTCATCAAGGATTGCTCAAAATTCATCAAAACTCAAAAGTTGCTAAATTAGGGTTTTCTAAGAAAAGTCAACCCAACTTTGACCAAGCATAACTTTCTCATACTTTATGAGAAATGACCCATACAAAGCTCATTTTGAAGAAGATTAAATCTCCTACAATCCATCTTCATACCCCAAGTTCAAAAAATTCACTCACAAGAAGTTATGAATTTGGACATTATAGGTCATTTTTGAAAGTCAACAAAAACACCTTTTTTTCCAAAGCTTATAACTTGAGCATGGAATATCAAAACGAGATGATACTAAAAGGGTTGGTTAGAGGACATCTCAAGATTTCTAAAAAGTCCAAGAACACTTCTAAAAGTTCAAAATTGAAGAAGTTATGCATTGTTGAAGTTGGACTTTTTTGTAAAATTGCCAAAAGTCAACTATCCCCAAAACTTCAAATTTTGTCAAATGGGCCCATTCTTTTCCACTTGATCTGAGTTTGCATAGTTGCCCACGTGTCCTAGCTTCATCCATGAGCCCATATTTCATTTTTATTATTTAATTTTATTTTTAATTGAATTTATTTATTTTAAATCAAATAAAATCATAAAAAATCCAAAGCATTGATAATTCATGATCTCTTGGCTATTTCAGGCTCCACATTCAATCATTATCATCATCAAATTCGAAACAAACCAAATCATGTGCAAAAAGTTTGAAATGAATCAAATTTGGAAGGTTTTTCATGGAGAATCAAATCAAATTTGCAATCATTATTGGAGCAAGATTTGAACCAAATTTGTTACCCTAATACACTGAGCATTACATAAGCAAGCATAAGGGACGAAAATAAGGGTTGGAGAGTACAAAGAGAGGCAGAACAACAAGTGAAAAAATCACAAAAAAGTGAGAAGTCGAAATCCAGGTTAGAGGCATTTTCAGAGGTCAAGACTTGTCCCAATCGTCTCCTGGGCATTCACACAAGCCATCCCAACCAAAACCAAGCATTTTTAGACTCTTAAACGCATTGTAAGTCTCACGTAACACAACTCTGTTCTTGAATTCGGTTTGATTCATTCTTGTATCATTTGAGAAAACTAATGGTACATTCGTGATCACAAGAACATGTTTAAACTTTTTGCATTGTTGAATTTCATTTATGTGCTCTGTATGAAGGAACACCATGGCTAGGGTTTGGCTCGTGGTTTTAGGGGTTTTTGTTTCAGGCACAATCGAGACACAAGAAGGGCATGGTTTTGATCTAGAAGCAAGGACGAGTCAAACCATGTTCTTGGAATGAATTTATATGGCCTAGAGAAGATTTTAGGATTGGCATGCGCTTTTAGCTGCGAATTCAAATCCGCAGGTATTCTTTTACAGGTTTCAGGACAGGACGATGAGGTGTCCCCCGTCCATTGGTGGATTCAAATGTTACGCGCGTGTTTTTATGTTCTGGCAATGATTTTGTTTTTTATATAATATATATACTTTGTATTATTATAACAAATCCAGCAGCGTGTCCCAGTGGTCAACAAGTCAAGTTCCAAGGCGTTAGTGGCTGGAGGTCAGGGGTTCGATCCCTGCCTCCAGCACTTTGTATTTTCTTATTTCTTTTCAGGTAATCATATGTGCGCGCTAGCTTGCTATCCACCATTCATCCTCACCCATCCAGGCGCCAGATGGCCAATGGCCAGATCTGTTGGTCCATAAATGGAGGAACACCAAGAGCCTAGTCCACGCATCCACATTGGATCAAAAAAGTCAAAAAGGCCAGCATAAGTGGGCTTATGGAATTGCTATCAACACCACCTAATCAGGCCCAAACTCTCTCTTTTATTTATCTTATTTTATTTTAATTGTTTTATTATTTTATTTAATTTCTAACCAATCACAAAATTCCTTTTTTATTAAATAAAATCACAAAAAGTATTTTTTATTTCAATCAAATTTTTAAATTTTATTTTTTAATAAATTTATTAATTAACTAGGTTTTTAATTAGAAAACTTTAATTTATTCTTGTAAATAATTTTAATTAATTAGATTTAATTAGATATTAACCACTAATTTAATCATTTTTAATTCCTTTCCTAAATAATCAAAAACTCCAAAAAATAATTTATTTTTTCATTTTATTAATTTATTAATTTAATTTAGTAATTAAATTAGGTTTAATTTCTTTTCTCAAATAAAAAACAATTTTCTTTCAAAAAGGGTCAAAACCCTAAACTCGCACTCGATCTAATTTCCCATGCGCTTTATTTATTTTTATCATATTAATGTACCTGTTTCTGGATTGTAATAGTTAAATAGGACATTTAATTATTTGTATTCGCTTTATTTTATTTTTCAAAGGGTTTGTCTTTGGCGATGTAAATACCCGACGCCTTGTAGTTTAATTTCCGCACTTTTAATTCCGCAAATTATAACTGTTAGATGTTTGATAATAGGGTTTGCATGACAAGACTGAATGTTAATCTTAAAATCGAATTAGATCACCCTTAACATGTACAAAGATAAAATAACTGAAAACGACACACTCGCACATGCGCACTCTTAGGGTACACCCCACTTGGTTGCCTTCGTACACGGTCATTGAGTATAGGTCACTTTAGAGGTCGCCCTCTTGTCTAAAAGATCATATTCGCCTTGAAATGGTTGCCTCGGATATTGTTGCCTCAAACAAATGATCTAAGACACTATGGTTACTGCTAGGGCATCCTAACATTGCTTTAGTGACTGTATGTCCCTCATTCGAATTGACCCTAAAACTCCAATGACGATGCTACCTACTCATCAATTGTGGGATAGTATTGCCTAAAGGACATTAGCATAGAACGATTCCTTTTTCGAGTAGGTAGATGGTTCTTAGATACTTGCTCTTTCAAAACAAAACTCTTCACACTTACACTTTTCGAACAAAGTTTTCAAAAACACTTCATTACACTCTTGAGGACAGAAGCAAGAGTTAAATCGAAGTTCCAAACAAAAACTTTTTCAAACCCACAAGCACAAAGAAAACAATTTTGAAAACAATTGAGCAAGTACCTAAGAGCCCGGGGATAACCACGGATAGAAAGGGTGCTAATACCTTCCCTTTCTATAATCTACCCCCCGAACCCGAGAAACATCTCGAAAAAGGAATTTTTCTGTGCTTTTTTCCTTTCCTTGTTGGATAAAATAAAAGTCGGTGGCGACTCTTGCTTACCGCGACATTTTGCGAAAACAAACGCAAAACGCAAACCAGCATTCCAAAAACAGTCAGTTCTTCCCACCGTATCACAGACGGGTTTTTGAACCTTAGACACATATTCTGCAACTTTTTCATCTTCTCACATCGACAACAACTCATATTGTCGATGCAAGGTTTGTAACTTGACAACCTTGACTTTTTCACCTCCTTCGTAATACTTCACCAGAATATCACATGTCTCCTTCTCCGTTTCAGCATGAGAAATTCTATCGAAATTAGCAGCATCGATCGTCGTCTGAAAGCAATAAGCAGTCTTGCAATCTTTCTTCTTGACTTCGTTGTGGGCTTTTTCTGTTCGTCGGTTGTATTTGCAGCCAACGCAGGAATGCCGTCGGTAACCACTACTAGGGTTTCATGGAAGCCAAACAAGGATTACATCTGTTTTTTCCATCAGATCTAATTCTTGCCGTCAAACATTGGAAGAGAATTCAGAATGCCCTTATCACTAGCCACCTTCGCAGCGGTTGATTCACTTTCCCTAGAAACACGATCCCTGACGTGAAATTCTTGAAAACTCGATCAAGAACAATAACCTGACTCTGATACCAATTTGTTAGTGCGTGAGACACTTTAGTGAGGAGAGAAAGGGGGAATAATAAAGAAAAAAAGGATTTATATTATTGAATTATACAAATAATAATACATACCAGCACTATTTATATACAACCCTTAATTAGATTTGGTCTACCCAATTTAAATTATATTTAAATATTAAATCAAATCAAATCAAATCTAATCTTTTAACAGATGTAATTTAATATTTCAACAATAATAACATTAAAAAAATATTTTAGAAAACGATCATTCCCATTTGCTCCTAATTTGATGTGAGTGTCTATAATCGTAAGTTAATATCAATCTTCTATCCATTCTCCTCAAAGAAAAACTTTCAACCAAAACATAACAACTAAATTTATTCCAATTATTTGTTCCACCAAACTCTTCAAATCTTGTTACTTTCACATGTCTTTCCTTCCCAGCAATCCATCCAAATCTCTCTTGTTCCCATTTCATTCCTTCAACAACTTCTAAACTTAATCCAACACTCTCTTCTCCCGCTTCTTCAACACTCTTAAACCATAATACTCCATCAACCAATCTATTTTCATCCCAAACAGCGTCTTTTCCTGCAATCTTTGCAACTTCTGTTTGAATATTAACATCAACAAGCACACCTCCTTCTCCACTATTTTCCTTTGTAAATATCTTCTCCCATCTCTGCTCAAGTGTTAGCTCGTAGAACGGCGACAACTTCATCTGCTCTTTTAATTTCATTACTTCTTTCACAAACATAAAAGGACAATACCACTTCCCAACTACCACTAATTCAGAACGATCATTAGACAACGGAAAGTTGAAATCCGGTAGCTTGGAGCGTAAGGAATCATTTGAGCCCAAAGCTTGGCTTAAATGGTAGTTGTAGGGAGTGCTTGAATGAAGTGTCCATCCTTTTTCCCTTAATAAACCAGGAGGAATTCCATCTGAGGCAACCGATTTTGCACGAAAACCATAACGTCTTTTGATTATTTCAACCTGTTGGTAATCATCGAAAGGCTCCAAAGGCTTTGGTTTAACATCACGGACAAAACTGCAGCATAAACATGTGGCCTTGTCCTCTTCCTTTGAACTTGTGCTAGCTTGCCTGTAAATCAATTCCAATTTCCGAGTTAATTTTGAAAGAAACGCTATTACTCACATACCTTGTTACTAGATCTGGTATGTTATTAGACCAGATACATTAATTATTGAATGAATCTAAAAAATAACTCGTCTCTTATAAATTGGACCAGAGTGAGTAATAATCAAGCATCTACTTCAAATTAGTCAACTTTAATTTCATGAAAAAAATGATTACATAATACATACCCTTGATTCTTCCCCTTCCTTTTCAAAACATAGTATCGATTTGAAGACAGTGGCTGATTCAATACTGGAATGAACATAGCTTTTTCTGAATGAGTGTGTTCTCCTACTGAATACATGATGGTTAAATTTTTGTTCTGAGGTAAAGGAAAATCCTTGACTCTATTGTTCTTCCATAATCCAAAACAAGAGTAGGTTTGAGCTTCTTCATCAAATATCACAAGATAACCTGAATTTGGCCCTGATGGTGGTGGATCTGAGAGAGCACTTGGATTTTTTTTGTACATGGAAAGTAGTCTCGTTGCATACATTTTTTATGATGGTATTTTGAACTATAACCTTGAAGATTAATCAATATATGATTATTATGAATGTATTCTTATCCCTTAAATACTTGAAATTTCTTGTCCATTATGTTAAACATGTAGTTGTGGCCTAATGAAATATTTTAATATAATAGTCGATTAGTTCAATACAATATTCTAACGTTAATGGTTGGATGTGTCTAATTGAAATCTATTAATTTATTTAATTGCCGTTTGTTGGCCGTATCTTATATTATTGAAAAAGTTTGTCGTGAGTCTACTAGATTAACATGCCAAGAAGTTGTTGTGTGATTGAGGTGTGAAGATGGATTGAATTAGTCTTCTAGTGGAATATTGTTAGCCAATGAGAAAGTCAAAACCTAGCTATAAAGATAACTTGGTCATGAAGCAAACACTTGTAAGATAAGTTGATGGATGAAAAAACATTAATTTCAACATTGAAAGATCAATCCATTCTAAGAAATAGATATTTTAATGGTAGATAGAAAATACTATGAATATGTAATTTTACGTGTAACTAAGTTGTGGATAGTAAGAGTTTGCAAGTGTTTGTCAATATTTTGTGTAAATTTTTATTTTTAATTGAAAGGTTTGCAAGAACTTGAAAATGTAGACTAATTTAGTCGAACTTTGTAATTAATCTCTATTTTTTTTTTGTTATGGTGCATTTATTCCTTTTAACTAATCGAACAACGATACAATAAAATTCTACAAAACTTTCTAACAAAATTGAGTTGGGTGTTTGAAAATTGAAACTTTTAAGTCAAATGGTTCTTTCACCTTATAGATTAATTTTTGGGGTTGAACCTTTCCTTTTTAATTTAAGCTCCTTGACATTATCATTGAGTGAATGATTCTAATCAATTAAAAGAAGATATAGTAAAGAATCACAATGTGAAGTTTTTTATATGTTTTTTTGGAGTGAAATGTGTCAACAATATCTATTTTTATTGTGGTAATTTTGCTTCAAAATCTACAAAGGAAATTTCTGAAAACTTCGTATGTTTCAGGAATGCAGTGCGTCCAATAGAATGGTTTCGTGCAGTTTTTCTTAAATGCAGTAAGTTTCATGGAAATACATTGTGTTTTCAATGACACCCATAAAAGGATGTTTTTTTCCATCCTTTTATGGGGTATGAGATTGAGAAAGGTGAAATCCTAGTGCGAAAAATTTAGAGGAAATGAGAGGGATTCTTAGATTTTATTGTTCTAAGAATTAGAAGAACATTGGGGTATTCAAGGGGTTTGGTAAACACTTTTAAAGACATTGAATTTATGTGATTCATATCTTTAATAGAGGAGAGCTTCATAAACACTTGGATACAAAATAGGAGATATATTATGAACTTGAAAAATTATTTTCTGGTAACTTATCTTGTAATCTCTTGTATAACTCTTGAAGTATAATGGGTCAGAGTTTGTCTCTCTCAAAAGTAGATTGTTTTGATCAAACTAGGTTAAAGTCATGCGTGTGTGTGTGTGTACTCGTCTTTATTTCTTCTTGTTCTTGTGATTTGGTTACATTGTTTCATAGATTTAATTTTTACTTGAGGCCATTCATTTTGGTTTCTGCTTCTTTGATCCACCAATCAAATTTTTTGCTTGAGGCTAATTATTTTTCTTGACTCCCATCATGAAAAAAATGAGACTAAGTTTACAAGTGAGCATCATAGGTTCAAAATGGGATGTCAAAATTTTTTATAGAGACAATGATTTCAGAGTGTGGAAAGTGAATATGAAAGCAATCCTAATTCAATAAAAGTGTGTAAAAGCTTTGAAAGGTGGTGCATTGATGCCTGCCAGGCTAACTTAAATAGAAAAGATAAACATCTTGGATAAGTCCAAAAGTGTCATTATATTGTGCCTAGGAGATAAAGTCACTAGTGAGAAGATGGTAATAGAGATATGGGTCAATCTTGAATCATTGTATTTGACCAAGTCTTTAGCACAACGATTATGTATGAAATAACAACTCTACTCATTTCGAATGATAGGAAGCAATTCCATATTTCTTAAGTAATTTACAACATTCAAAAATATTATTGATGGTTGATGATGAGGACAAAACTCTACTCTTGTTAGGCTAATTAACCCCATATTTTGATCATTTCAAGGATTCCCTTCTTTATTGTAAGGAATACATTATCACCTTGGAGGAGGTCTAATCAACTATAAGAACCAATGAATTAACCAAAATAAAGACTTGAATGCTAACAATAGTGGTGAAGGCCTTAGTGTTTCAAAAGGCATGAGTGTCTCTCATAGAAAACCAAAAAGGGAAGAAGTTCATTTCAAAGTCTAGGGTTTTGATAAGTCAAATTTAAAATATCTCACTTGTCATAAAATTGTTCACTTTAATAAGAATTATCCCGAGAGAGGAATTAACTATAATTTTATTCAAAGTGTGTTTTCCTCATATGAGGATGTTATGAGAGTGTTGGTACACTAGTGGTGACACGTTTGGAGACAAAAACTAGTTAGGTCATGGACTAAGGATTCTCTTATTACATGTGTTCAAGGAAATAATTCTTTGAGTATTTGGAGCAGAAAAGAAGGTTGAGTCATTTGACTAGGTAATAATAAGACTTGCAAAGTTCATGGTATTGGTAGGATTATACTTATAATGTTTGATGATAATGAGTTTCTTCTACGTAATGTGATGTATGTTTACGTGCTTAAGCAAAATTTGATGTCTATAAGCATGTTTGAAGATTTAGGCTATTGCACTAAAATTAAATATGGAATGTTGAAAATTTTGCACGGTACATTGATTATGGCTAAAGGGTTTAAAATGTGTGGATGTATATTTTAGATGATTCTATTGTTATTAGCCATGCATCATTATCTAGTCATGAGTTTTCTAACAAAACCAATATATGGCATTGGAGATTAGTGCATCTTAGTGAAAGAGGTTTGGTTGAGCTAGAAAAACAAGGTTTGCTAGCAAGTGAGAAATTGAATAAACGATAATTTTGTTATTATTGCATACTATACAAATAACACATAGTGAAGTTTGAGAATGACATGCATAATTCTAGTAGACCATTTGAGTACGTTCACTCAGATATGTGGAATCCAGAAAGAGTGGAAACTCATGGGAATGGTTTATATTTCGTCATTATTAGTATAAGAGGTTTGGGTTGATCTAGAGAAATATGGTTTGATAGGAAATGAGAAATTGAATAAACTAAAATTTTGTGATTATTGCATAGTAAGAAAATAAGTGGTTTGGGAGAGGCATGCATGATTCTAGTAGCCTGTTTAAGTTTATTCACTCGTATCTATGAGGTCCAGAAAGAGTGGAAACTCATGGGGTGATTTATATTTTCTCCCTATTATCAATTATTTTTGTAGAAAAGTATGGGTCTACATTTTGAAAAATTAAAGTCACATATTCAAAGAATTTCATACTCTTATTTGAAATCAATTAGGAACTAAACTGATTATTTTGAGAACTGACAATGGTCTGGAGATTGTTTTAGAGAAGTTTAATTAATTTTGCAGAAAATAAGGTATCAGGAGAAATAGAATAAATGATATAACACCTCAAGAAAATGGCCTAGTTGAATAAATGAACATGACCATTTCGGAGAGGGCAAGGTTGATGTTATTGGGAGTTAGGTTAATTAATATTGTTTGGGATGAAGTTGTTTCTACAATAGCTTACTTGAATAACATGTGTCTATTTAAATGAATAGACTTCAAGACACTTGTGGTGTTTAGTGAAATCCTTATAAATCATTATGGATCAAGCGGTCAAGTTGCTCTCTATCAAATGTATAAGATATCTCAATGAATACAACGCCTTATGTCAAATGGAGCTCAATGATGAAGTGCTTAGTTGTTAATGAATTTAGAAAAATGACTTGAAGCTTCATATTTCTGAAAGAGGGGAAGTGTGAAAGCTCGGGTGGTCTTGCCCTTTGCACGTGTATGAGTGATCAATATCATCTAAAGGTATAATAACAACTATTAATATACTAAGACAAATCTTACACACACTCAAATATTTTAGAAGTCTCTCTTGGTTTATAAAATACCATAAAATATTTTATAAGTATAACCAATGGATTAAGGGCGTGTTTAATCAATTAGAAGTGTGTTACGTGGTTTAATTGATTATTTCATTAGGGTTAATCGATTAACATTTTTGTAATGCATCCTAATCGTTTAGAGCAGCCTTTAATCAATTAGTGGCAGCACAATTCAAAAACGTTCTTTTTCTAGCTTATCTAATCGATTAACAACCATAGTTAATCAATTAGAAGCAATAAAAAACTCATGGGTAGTTTTCCTTTGTGACACAAATGTTATCCTATAAATAGATGGTTTCTCCTTATTTTATTTTTCACCAAAAAACGTATTTCATTCATGCTTTTTCACTTTTTACTCTCTTCTTCACTCTTTTTCTTTTCTTCATTATATTTTCCTTAATGCTTTCAAAGTGAAAAATATATATGAGAGTTTTTGTTTTAGTGACATGGTTATTTGGTGATTTACTCAAAAGGGATTTGGATCTTGTGTAAGATCTTTAAGAGAAGCTGTTGTTTGGTTTGTAAGTTTAACCAATGAAAAACTCTTGTTCAGTTCTTGAGATTTGTCAGTTAAAATCTATGATTTGGTTTGTGAGCTCAGTCCGTAAAATCTCCCGTTTGGTTCGTAGATTAGCTAGTTAAAATATTCGATTGGTTCCTGAATTTCGCGTAGTGTAAAAGCTCAATTTGATTATAATATTAGTAATGTAAAATTTGTTGTAAATTTTGATATATATTTCAAAAGTTTTAAAATAAATTTATCTTCTAATTTTGAATGAGAACTATTATAAAATATTTTATAAGAAAAATTATTATTATTATTATTATTATTATTATTATTATTATTATTATTATTATTATTATTATTATTATTATTATTATTATTTATAATTGGATTTGGTCAATCAATGATCAAACAACATTTTTTTTTACTTGACTTAGTCAAAACCT